TCATAACTCTGGTCATATAATGACCATAGGCATAACCCGAAGACAGGACCAAGACAGAACAGTGTCTGCATCCTACGTAAGATCGTTAGATGCGCCGGGTAACTTTGTGTTTGTCATTGTCTGTTTTTAATTTTGTTCATGTACTCATAGGCATAACCCAAAGACGGGACCAAAACAGAACGATGTGTGCATCCTACCTAGGATCGTAATGAGGGCTACATGTGCACACATGTTTATTCTGTGTGAAGCTCTTAGGTTACTCATGCGCCAATGTGTATAATAGCTATTACTAGTGCGAATACTAATACTGATACTAAGATTTCTAATCCTACGAATAAGGATATTACTGTTCATAACATAATAGGCTTAATGGTTAATACTAGTATTAAAAATTACACTACTAATTCGAATAGTAGTGCTGATGGGAATATTAACACTCCTGGGGATACTAATACGCATATTCGTATTAACTGTTCTCAATATGAATACTGATAGTACTAGTTGTTTGGAATACTAATACTTGTCCGAATATTCATAACAATACTGAGGCTACTGCGATTATACATAATAGGACATTAATATGGGTATTCGTATTAAGGTCAGCATTTCCTTCGAAAGTATTCATATGCGCATCATAATTCATCTTAATACTCGTACTGATATGAATTAGTATGATTACAAATACTTTTACGAAGACGGGTACTTTCAGTAATACCGATACTAATATGAATACTAGTGTTCCTACGAATATGACAAAACATACCCATATTGATAGTAATGTTAGTATTTATTTGTTACCAATATACACGCAAATGCTAACATTAATACTAATATGCACATAAGTGATACAGTTCCTCCGCAGACTAATGCGCATAGTCTTATTAATTATTCTCAGTATTTATATTCACATTAAAAAACCTACACTAACATGAATAGCAGTATTACCACTTGATACTCAAGCTAATACGATTATGCATAGTATGAACAGCGATACTGCTATTGATACCAATATTAATGCTCCTACGAATACTACTAATCACGTTCAAACCAAATACAAAAAACAGACACATCAATGTACCAAAGAATCTGTATTTTCACATACCAATATATAATATACTCGTATACTACTATTCCAATGTTACCATAGACTTACAAATACAGAATATACTGATATGAGACTATACACTGGTTAATATTAACGCTAAGAATAAGGCAGAGACTAAGACCAAGACTAATACGAATACTAAAACTCACACTAGACATTAACACTACCATTAGTACACCTCTTGTATAGACTTATATTCAGACTAATACTAACGCTGACATTGGAATTGACATGGACACTGACACCAACACTAACAGTAACACTAATCAACACGCTAGAAGGCAGATACTAATACTAACACTAATGCCTAATGCAAATCTGAAGACTACTGCGCGTAAACAACGAAACCATTTCCGATCAAGCATGCTGCGCGCTGTATTGGCTCTAAGGCTCCGAGAACCAAAAATCCAAAAAAACAAAAATCCAAAACCTTTGTCAGGGGGGTCGAAACTTTTGGATTTTTTGGTTTTCCTAGGGTTTTTTTGGTTTTCCAACAGAAAACCAAAAAAAAACAATGTTTTTTTGGTTTTCCAGCAGAAATCCAAAAAAATCCAAAGTTTTTTTAGTTTTCCAGCAGAAATCTAAAAAAACACAGATGTTTTTTGGTTTTTCACGAGAGACACAGCAGAAAAACCAAAAACACCTTGTGTTTTTTCGGTTTTCCACCGAAAATCCAAAAAAAGCCATGGTTTCGCCAAGGCAAAGCCTAAAAAACCAAAAAACACCTAGGAAAACCAAAAAATCCAAAAGTTTCGGGCCCCTCAGAAAGGCTTTGGATTTTTGGATTTTTGGTTTCCGCCGTCGTATCGTATGGTTTCTTTTAATGTTTCTTGCTTATGAATACAGGCATATGAATTTGAAAGCGGACATGAGTAGGCACGACGTTGTAAAGAGACATGACTTCACATCAGCCATGATAGAGAAGGTATCATCCCCGAATATTACGCAAAACACGAATCGTATGCCAAACGCGAACCCCTGCCAAGAGAAGGTTTTGACGGTATTTACAATGGAAAAGAGGCCGAGGTAGGTCATGGTGGGGGGTGTGTCCATATATATATATATATATATATATGTATGCTCGCCCCTCCCGTTGACAGACCATGGCCTTGTGACACTGTACTCTTGGCAGGTGACTCGGCTGAGATATTGTATCTAAACACACCACACCCTACGATAATCTGTAAAGTAAGACCTTTAAGTAGATATACAACGTGTACTTGGACATGCCATGTACTGAGGACGCATGCACCAGACGTGCGGCACGTGAGTTATGTAATAGTTTTGTGGTAGGATCGGTATTAGGGTGAGTATTATTATTAATATTAGTACTATTGTTTGCTGTAAGCATACATATCAATATTGCCAACTATAAATTAGTGTTAGTGCTCATGTTCGTGTTAGAGTTAGCGCTAGTGCCAGTGTCAATGTCAGTAATACAGCACCACTGCTACGAGTAGTACTAGTATCAGTCTTTATGCTGGGTTTAATAGCAGCTTATATTCGCAGAAGTGCTAGTATTAGTATCAATATTAGAACTAGTTAGTGTTGATGTGTTACTATGATGATAGTCTCGTATATTAGCAGATTAGTATATCAATACATCAATGTATTCGAACAGTAAGATATTTGCATACTTGTATACTAGTATATTTCACATGTTAGTACAACTGGTGCATGAATACACTAGTACATTGGTGTATTGGTTTACTAGTATAATAACATACCAGTATATTCGTACGTTAGCATATTAGTCTACTAGTGTGTACTGTACTCATGTATTGTCTAATCATTTATAAGTATATCAGTGTGTTGGCATATTAGCATACGAACTTGTCATGTCGGTATTCTTGCATATTGCAGTAGTCGCATATTAGTATAGTTATAGTATATTCATACAACAACGAGAGGTATATTGTTACATTGGCACATGGGTATATGCCTACGCCAAAGCATTAATACATGAATACACTAATGTATATATCTGTATCTTAACAGAGTGGTATGTAGTTTAGGTACACTCGTATATGCAGGTGTCTATTCGTAATGACATTAGTTTTCATATCAGTATGAATATACTATTGGTATTCGTAGGAGTATTAATGTCAGTATTATTAGAATTAGGACTATTTATACTCGTATTAGCCATAATATGAGTGTTCATGCTGGTAATACTAGTGGCATTCTTGAATACTCAGCAGATTATCGAAGTCCGTATTAGTGTTGGTGATAGCACTACTGTTAACGCACAAGAATTTACGTATTCGTATTCGTAGGTCACAACAAATGATCAATGTCAGTATTAGCAATGGCAATACTATCTGTAGGAGTATCAATACATATATGTACATATAGATAGATAGATAGATAGATAGAGAGATATTCGTCTAAATATGGGCATGAGTATTGACAGCCCTTGCCTTTGCAAGTGAGTCGTGTGCATGGTCTGTCATCGGATGGGTCACAATCAGCCCTCCTGAGAATCAATTCCAAGAGGTCCAGAAACTCCAAAATTTCCAAATCAAAATTTCATAAATTTCCGAAATATCCAAAAATTCCAAAATTCCCAAATCAAAATTTCAGAGATTTCCGAAAAATCCAAGAATTCCAAAACGGCCCGACCTAGTGGACAAAACATAAGGGCTGACTTTTTGGAAATTTTGGAAATTTTAGAAATTTCGGAAATTTTGGAAATTTTGGACATTTCGGAAATTTTGGAATTTTGGAAATTTCGGAGATTTTGAAAATTTTGGAAATTTCGGAAATTTTGGAAATTTCGGAAATCCGGAAAATTGGGGGAGAGAATTTTGGAAATTTTGGAATTTAGTTTGTGAGGGCTGAGTGCCCCCTGCCCCGATGACAGACCATGCACTACGTGTGAGTTGGAAGGGCATGGTCTGTCAACGGGGGGGGCGACCATATATATATATATATATATATACATATATTAAAAAATGTATACACGCAGTATAAAAAGTCCTCCTGCAATGCGGTTTAAGGACCCCGACAGACAACTTTGACTGCGAACTCCTCGGGCTTACGAGGTCAGTGCAGGCCCCTGCATTCAATGCAAACCCATCATCTTCGTAAAGCTTGCAGTATTAATGTCCCACAAGATCACAGAAGGCATGTCTAATCTCGAACTCCAAAGTCCTGCTTCTTTCAGGATCTTGACTGAGCACGAGAATTGGAGTCGTGGAGTACAATACAACATGTGTATAAGGGGCTCAGAGGGCAAAGACTCCTAAGGACGGCCGACCGTACGTAGTATATGTGCAATGCGGGAGAAAAACAGAACCGCAGAATCTCCCAGTTTGCCCATCTCATATTTTTTGCTGACGGTGCCTTGCTTCCTGCACCTATGAGCCCCAATGGTCGTTGAAATCGCGACATCTTCTGTTATCTTATTGTACGTTGCATTGACTACAGTAGCTCTTTGGTGAACTTCTTCCCTCGAAGCCTATGGCTTGGGTGTCCTGATTTCGTGGTTCGGGATGAAGTTCGGGATCATTCCGGATTGCAGACCTAAGTTTTGTGCTCTTGTGGCCGGAGTTTCCCACTCGGGAGCTGGTGGCTTCGGACAGGCAGCCAGGCAGCCGGTCTGTGGAAGAAGACACGGGATCATGCAAGCGACTTTCAATCAGGTCTGTGTTTGGGCCCAATTAGGAACCTTTCTACCACCATGGTTATCCCTCTCAAACTTGGCTGCACATACCCGGCCACCCTTTCGGACCCCAGCAACTCACACCTAAGTGAACCCCAACTAGAAATCAGCCCTTGTAGTAGTAACCCCTACAACAACCGTTGCAGGAACTCGAGCCCTTTAAAGGAATCCTTAGAGGAACCAAAAGCGCAAACACACCGCTGGTGGACTCCGGCTTAAGAGTTTCTCCGCCTGCTCCTTCGCCCGATTGTAGAGATCCTCAAGTTGGTTGTTGGTCAAAGGTAAAAGCAACACAATGCCTAAAGTTGACCCCCTGAACCCTGAATTCAACACCTGTGCAGTTGGACACAGGGAAACCCAAGCGATCCAATTGCAGAAAAAGCGGGAAGAGCTCAGGAGGTCGCACCAGTGTTTAGTTTCTGAGCTGTTGTGCTTGCGGCTGCATGGCTCAGAGCTGGAGAGCTCCGGTCGGCAGACTTTAGGCCTCACGGTGGCCTTTCAGTCCGTGCTGCATGGGGTTTGTACACGAAGACTCCGCTTTGGAAAGTGTGAAAAGCAGTTTCGAACCAGATCTTATTCGCTGCAGCTGCCCGCCCAAATTCGGCGAGCCTGGTCTTCCTCCCTTCTCCGCCACCAATCTTCTTGCAGCGCCCCAACAGTCGGAAGTCATCAAACAAGGCCCGAAGCCGGAACCGGACAACTGCCGAAACCCTTAAGCGTCAAGCCTCAGTCCGAAAATCTTCACAGCTGGTAACCCCAAGCTTTGCAAATGTCGTTCTCGCTTCCAAGCCCGGGCTTCCTATTTCCCTTCAATCAAATGGACATGAGACCTGGTTCAAACGACCTGTGCCAGAGCTGAAGCGCAAAATGGACCGAGGCGTTGGGGGTAAAACCCAGACCCAGGCCCTTTGTACCGGAAGAAAGCTTGAACCCATGGCTTGTGAACTGCCGGCCTAGACTCTGGATCCCTCCGTTGACGCCACGACTCACAGGGGTAGCAAACGCCATAAAGCGTTTGAGCCGAGGAGCACAAATGACGCCGATGAAGACGTTCATTATCAGTACCTCAAATCGTTGCGAGCTTTTGCAGGGTTCCAAAAGCCCAACACTTGAAACCCGAAGACCCCCAAAACCCACATCTGAAGACTCCAATAGCTTCAGCACGAATCCTAACGCCCAAAGCCCTCACATTTCCCGAAACGAAGATGGAGCCCAAACCGGCTCGCAGTCTGACGCTGGTAAAACGGAGAGGGACCCTGTTTTGGAATCCTGAAGCACAACTTCAATGGGGGATGTAGTTTTGTTCATTCTACATAGGTTTAGGCATCCGGTCGGGATAGGCAGCCGCGAGGCTGTGAAGAACAGCACTGCTACCAGGACCAGGACCAGCTCCTCGGTTCCAGGAGATGGACGTTTCGGGATGTAGATTGGGTGGGGACTGGGGAGTTCCGTGGCATACGAGTATGGAGGTGGGACATGCTCATGGAGTAGTCGAGTAGTAGAACACCGAAGCAACATAACGACAGAGTCTTGCCGTGAGGCTGTGGGAACCTGCAGGCGAGATAGACAAACATACACATGTGGATCGTTACAAACAGCACTGCGCGGAGGCGCCCTGAAACGAACACACGGGTGTAGCACTATGACACTCGCAGTGCAGCTATATACTCTCCAGTATAATGATATATGCAAGCTTTCCAGATGTAGACATAATCATACCCATCTGGTGCAATATTGACGACCACACTTTCCCGGGTGACAGGGTTGGAGTCGCGGCTGGGAATGCAAAAGCATGCACAATAGGAAACAAGACCGGCCCAAAGCAGGTGTGACTGTGAGGGCTTTGGGGTTTAAGGGTTTGAGACTGTAGGGTTTCAAGATTTAGTGTCCAGCGCCGCATGGGGGCCAAGTCTCGGTTCACCAGCAACCGGCATCAATGTTCCCTTCCAAGTGGAAGCGACTCTGTTTCAAATCCGGGCTCCCTTCTAGCTACATAAGTATTTTGTCGGCGTTTAGCAAGTTTGCCAAATAACACAGACTTGAGATGCCCTCGCTCCATGTCGACATTGCACCCTAGAGTCCCTAAAGCGTCTCGAAGCCGTAGCAAAGCCAGACCAACTTACCATACCCGAAGGCAAAGTCCCAGAACCCTCGCCCCGACAATGTCACTGAATCGCGGGCTAAGCGGGATGGGAAACCTGAATTTGGCACAGTACCGCACTACTAGCAGGCATCAGTCGCAAGGGAGTTGTGGCCACTGTTGCTGTGATGACGACGACTTAGGACTACTGTTCCTGCTGCTTTCACTACCTGCTCCTGCTGCTGCTGCTACGACTACGACTACGACTACGACTACGACTACGACTACGACTACGACTACTACTACTACTACTACTGCTACTGCTACTGCTACTGCTACTGCTACTGCTACTGCTACTGCTACTGCTACTGCTACTATTACCGCTGCTACTACTTGTGCTGCTGCTACTACTGCTGCTGCTGCTGCTACTACTACTACTACTACTAGTACTCCTACTCCTACTACTACTACTACTACTACTACTACTACTACTACTACTACTACTACTACTACTACTACTACTAGAGGCAGCAGCAGCAGCGGGAGATACCGAAGCCCAGCGGCCAGCGCACTGACTCCTTCTGCCGTCTCCGGCAGAGCGGCAGTGATCCTAAGCTGCACATCCGCTTTGGGGTTTAAGGATTGGCTTTATGATTCATGTTGTCAGTCCTTTACAGCTTCCTGTAGCAATGATTGTGCGGTCACTGCAGCGACTTTTGCCTATGGTCTATTCGAGCAACTTTCTGCTGTTCCCCAAATTCACGCCCACTCCGTAACAGGCATTGCTGTAAGAATCAGAGCTTCCACGCTTCCGGACATGTCTTTAACTACAAATTTCGGCTACATACTTATAGCCCAGACCCTGTGCCCAGCAAACCCATCATTTTATGCAACTTCTAACCCTCAACAGCCCTAGGCAGGCCGAGCTCATGCAGGCCTACAGTGCGCTTGGCAATAATGGAAGTACTAGCACTAGTACAACCTATGCTGCTGATCGGTTGGTTGATCCCTCTGCCGCTCCTAAGCTTCCTGTTGTTTATGTTCATCCTTTGCATACTCTCTCGTTGTAGGTTCTGAGGTTTGCACAGCAAAACGGCTACCACCATGACCACGAACGATGACTTGATACTACCGCTACCGACGACGACCCAAGACCCTGCCTGTTCCAAACGGCCTCTGCTGCATCCCAACTCCTAACCTGGATGTCCAAGCGACAGCACTGCGAAGGTGTCCGTGGATACAGAGGGCCACAGTGCCTCAAAGCTGAGTTTAACACTACTCTTTTGGTTTCAACTCATGACCTTCTTTGCTCCAGGATGAGTCTAGCGACTAGTGCTGCAGTCTGAGCATATAGCATTGATTGTCTGCAGAGTTTGCACCACGCCCCTTTAGGACCTTTGATTTTGGACAAGGTCATAGACTCTGTGCACAAACATCATTTAAGAAGCACCCTTCATTGTCCAATCAGTTCAATGTATACCTTGACAAAGGATCGAGGTTCCTTGGTTCAAAGCCGCTCAGCCACTCTTGAAACCTGAATCACAAGATTCCAAAAAAACCTAAAACCCTGGATTCATAGAGCCCCGAGAAGCCACGGATGCATACCCTGAAAGCTCTAACATGTAGCCCAAGAGAGACAAACCCGAAACTACCAACACCCCGCACGTCGAGGGCCTGCGCAGATCCTCGCACAACGTAAAAGGCGTGGGTGAAGGCTCCTCAGCTTTGGAGTCTTGTGAACTTTGCGCTGCGTGAATACATTCCTAGCTTTCAGTGGATTAAGAACTTGTGTCACTCAAGTCTAAGCTGCCAAGAGTGAGGCTTCATTCAGGGACTTGGCATTCAGGGGGTTGACACATCCACGGGTTGATGAGGTTTGGGTTCAAGGAGTTCATGTCAAGGGATTGAAACATAAATTTCGACATAAATTTACCTCTGCCAAAACGGGAGCTGCAGCAATAAGCGTGAGCTGCTAGTACTGGTACTTTAGCTCATACTCCACTGCTGCTATTGCTCCAACCACTGGGATGACGACACCCCACGACCGTTCTGAGTGCTTGCTCATAATATCCATTCTTCCCCTGGTCCGTTCGTTTCTGATCTTACAACTGCTGATTTTTCAGTGTTGAATTGGTTGCAATGGGAACTACCATCACAATCTTTTGTTGAGCTTGCAAGTAACATTACTTTTGTCAAGTGTAAAGCCCGTGATACCATACTTGTGGTATATGCTTGCTCGGTCTGTATGAGGTGATGGCGACGGTGGCGTCAATGCAGGTGTTGCTGCCGATGACTGTGATGATGGTGCTTCTGCAACAGTAGCTTGTGGTGTTGTCTCGTTGTTGATTGTGACGGCTAACGTTTCAGAAGACGTCCTCACGGAGCCAGAGACCACAGACTCCCAAAGCCGAAAGCTCCGACATAAGCAAAATCTAAATACCCAGCACCCTGCACTCTGAAACCTCAAACCTCTTCCGACCGAGGCTCCGTAGGCAATCGCCGTGACGAAGAGCGACGGCCCGAGCCCGCCTCGCTCAATCACGGCATAGCCCGTCTTCTGGAAAAGTTGCGTTGGCTGTGTTTTGGGATTTTGCATGGAGTTTGTCAAACCTGCTGCTGTACACGGGGAGTCTGCTGCTTTCAGGCCTTCGTAGGGCCTTCGCGCATTCTTTCAGGTTGTTGTTGCCAGGGGTTTCCTCTAGGCCCTGATGTTGGGCCGGCCACGGTTCAACTGATGTGACCAGGTTTCGGGCTAAACTGTAGCGTATTGACTCCGAGCACGATGCGAGTGGCTTTGGCATCTGGCATTTGTAGGGGCCTGCTAGGGGCGCATCCTGCAAACTCTAAACCCATAAACCATGTGCGGGGCAAGTGAGCTTTGCTTTGAGGTAAGATCCATTCTGGACACCGTGTCGGCATGCAAGACTTGGTGCAAGCAACCTGGTAGCACCTGTTCCACGACTATAACTCTCAACCCATAAACCCTGAACTCGGCAGCCCTAGCTCTCATAACCTACCAGTCGTGCGGGTTCAGGGGACTGAGTAGTTCGATCACAAGTGGGGATGCCAAGGTGGAGTATCCCAATCAGAACCCATTAGTCCCCCTGAATGCGTGGATCCAACTCCACTTGCCAAGAGGCCTCACATTGAAGTTCCTCTGCCGGACAGGTTTCCTCCCTGACTCCCTGAGGCTCTCACTTGCGAGGTCCATGATGGGCAGCAGCTCCACGCCGATGTACCTTCACATATATATATATAGAGAGAGAGAGAGAGAGAGAGAGAGAGAGAGAGAGAGAGAGAGAGAGAGAGTTGCTAACGAAGGCAATCAGATCTTGGTGTTGGTTTCACCACGGACAGGGGGCAAATGGCTTCAAAAAGCTGTGGGATGCAGTATATACTAGCTTAGGGATTGACAAGCACTCGCGCTACATTGTCATAATCACAGGAGTTCGCCATACTCGGGTCCATGGAAAGTGGACAGGACCATAAACCAGCTTTCCACGTCAAGTTAAGGCACTGCATGAGGGTGAAGCAGCCGAGGAGGCGCATCCAGTAGAGGAACACGGCGCCTCGGTACGACTACTACCGCAACAACTACAACTACTACTGCTGCGGCTGCTGCTCCTGCTCCACTCCGACTCCGACTCCTACGACGACTGCGACTGTTACTATAAACGTTGTTGCTGCTGTTGCTGTTGCTGTTTATGCATGCAGGCTTGCCTTCCTTATACCATTGTTGACCTTTTCCGTCTCTGTTGGCTTCCACAGCTTGTTGGCAGTAACACAAATGGCTTCTATCCCGTTGCACTTCATGAAACTGAAGTCGGGGAGTTGACCAGTATGGCACTGAGGCCAGCACAGATAAGCACTGGTTCGCCTGAGCAAGGCGGATCAGATCCTTCAACTTGCAGCAAACCCTCATATTCAATGTTACAAGGGCATGCACCCTGGAACTCTGAAACTTAGGTCCTGCAACACGAATCCCTGAACCCCTAGCTTCAAGACAGGTGCTAGCTGCTAGATTCTCGATCAGTCGCCTTGTATTCATCTTTTCGGAATTGGGAATACAGCTCTAACAGTCCGTGTCGATGTCTTCTGCGAGCCAGCGTGACTCTGTTCAAAAGACGTGACAAGGACTGATCGCGAAGCATGCAGAACCTGGAGTCATCTGTATACGCAAAGCTCCCTTGGGCCCAGAATCAAAATACAATTCGTACGAATCCCTTAAGCTTCATATTGCAAGAAGACAGAAAAGGAGAGACCAGATTAGCAGGGATTCACCAGGCAACTGGATTGACAAACTTGAAGGCGCCAGACCTCTACCTATGTCTTGTCAAAGGGTAAGGTTCTTGTGTCGCCAAAGACATCGAAAAGGGACCAAACCCAAACGCCGAAAACCCAGCTCTAGGTAGAGTCATGCTCCAGAGGCCCGGTCTTTGGCAGTTATTGCACTATGAGCCCCTCGTATGCCTCGTTTCCCCCCAATGACCCACGGATATCAAAGCTTCAAGGGGAACTAAACTGTGTATGTGGGCCCTCCCGGATCTAGGGGTTCGAGCTACAACTTTGATCCTTCGAGGGTGTTTTTTTATGAACACCCGATATTCAAGGATTCAAGGATGAGGGTGCACAAGGTCCTTAGCGGTTTTTGAATCACTTCCTTTCCTAGCTGCTCAAGACGTGAGGAGAATACAAATGTATGATTCCCGTGCTAAAGATCCAGTGTCCCAAGGTTTGAACCACATCAGCAGTGACTCACCCTCAGAAGATACAAGACTTCGTCTTTCACGACAGGGAAGGCTGAACACGCTTCCACCTTTGAATACAGGAAAACTTGCAGTGCCCGTGCCAATAGGCGAAACTTGCACAAGAGCAAATCTTCGTGCTCCCCATCACAGTGATTCCTCAATCCTAATGCCCAGGATCACAGTGATTCCTCAATCCTAATGCCCAGGAGAGCTCGTCCAGAAGTCCCGAATCATCCAATCCCCGGCCAGCTCTGCCGACCAGTTGCATGTTGGTGCCTTGGATGCCAAAAAGCACGTGGGGAGAGGGCGCATGGTGACGTGGAACCCGGCAGGTCGGGGGTTGGAGCTTCCCAGAAACGGAATCATCTTAGCGAGGATACAGGACAATGCCCATTATTGTAGCTGAGCCCCAGAGCACCCACAGCACCCACGGTCGCAACAACGGGAACACGTGTGCTATGTTTAGGGTTAGGCAAGGTTTTTGACATGTTTGACAGTTCGTAGCAATGGCTCACTGGCTGCCTCACACGTTCCAAATTTGACAGAATCACCTCTGCATCGGGATTCTTTCCAAGTAGCTCTCCTGCTCTTACAGTGTAGGCACAGTAAACATGATGGGGTCTGGGTATCCCAGCGAGGCTGTTCCTTTTGTATCCGTTACACAGTAACAGTTGCAAATGAATGACGGTGCCTAGCTGCCCAAAATGACAACGGAGATCTCACACAAAGGCCATGAATCCCTGGCAAATGCGGAGCAGTTTTTCCAACTGCTTCCGCTTCGGTGGCGTCATGTCTGCGTTTCGATCTTACAAATCGTAGTCGATTTTACAGATCGCAGTCATCGATCTTACAGATCGATGTGACAGAGTTCTTTCTGTTGGGAGGACCGACTGGTTCCCAGGCGGTACTCGCAGACAGGAAGCAGAGGAAAATATAGTAGTCCAATGAGGGTCGGGACGGGTGGGTGAAACAAAATTTCTCTCAAGCTGGAACAGCTTTTCGCCAAAATGGCCACGGAATATACAATCGTTCGAATTGAATCGGTGAGTTAATCCCCTGACCGATTCGGTGATCAAGTGAGATAATATGTTGTCACTTCGCACAAACAAGTGTGTGCTACACGACAACGGAGATCTCACACAAAGGCCATGAATCCCTGGCAAATGCGGAGCAGTTTTTCCAACTGCTTCCGCTTCGGTGGCGTCATGTCTGCGTTTCGATCTTACAGATCGTAGTCGATCTTACAGATCGCAGTCATCGATCTTACAGATCGATGTGACAGAGTTCTTTCTGTTGGGAGGACCGACTGGTTCCCATCGAAGGTGGTCGCGTCCTCCCATCGCAGGCGAACGCCACTCGAAATATGATCAAACTAGCATCGTAGTCAACTGATCGTGCAATCTGCTAATTTCGGGTAGTTCGGAAAAACCCGTAGAAGAAGCAAAATGAATATCTCCTATAATCTTCGCAGCCCTACTGGTCAAAGAGTGTACAGGTAAGTCGAGCTTAGTCCAAGTCGAAGACTCTGGTACATGTTCGAAGCGTCTGATCCCGTCGGAGATGTTGGCTTTGGTGGGAACACGTTCGAGTCGGTGTGCAAGACTTCGTCGATTATGCCAAGTCCAGTGTGCTGCAATGAGGCAATTCAGGGGCTGATGTTTGCCGACGCCTTTGAGTAGGGCGTGTCGAGAAGCTTCGTTGTCGCAGCACTGGACGTAGAACTTGTCGAGCCATGGCTCGAAGACCAGTGGAGCCAAAATGGCGACCCAAGCTTCGAGGAGGTAAATGAAAGCTTGGTCGGATGAAAATTGTCGTACGAGTAGTGAGGGGAGACGACCCTGGAAGTAAGCTGCCATTTGCACATCACCGTGGTGGAAGCAAACTGCAGCCCATCCGTTCTCGATGTCGGATGTCGACTTCGAGTCCCAATTCGGGATGTCGTCGTCCCCCGGCCTGTAGGTGCGGTCGCCCAGGCGGAAGTAGGCATCCGTGTAGATGACACTGTATGAAGTTCGAGTCATCTGTCGTGGTATCGTCATTGGGCGACAATGTTGTATGATGTCCTTGAGTGAAAGTAGTGACGATCGGGTAGGTTTGTCGAGAGCGTGTGAGTACGAATGGGCGCGGGCATATAATGCTTTCAGGGCCGCGCGGCCTACCTTACCGAAGAGTCGGCCTGTGAGGAAGTTACACTTCCCAGCCATTTTCCTGGCTTGTTCGGGTGACAATGACGAGGTCTCCAGGTGCACGTCGATCTGCTTACACATGTTCTCGACGCGTTTGGGACACGGAGTCAACACCAAGTTGTCGTTGTCGGAGGAGATGATGACACCTTGGATCCGATGTGCGGTTTGAGGTGGTTGTCTCTTGCTGGGTTTCATCGAGATTTGGAGACAACCATTGTACTCCTCGAAGGATTCGAAGCTGCCCTCGGCAAGATCGGAGTCTTCCATGGATCCATAGTCGTCGACGTAGTGCATCGCCGGTGACAGGATCATCGTGCGACTGCACGCGACCAGAATGTCCCCAAAACGGTTATACGACGAGACACTGGCTGCCGAACCAAAGAGCAGGACGTTGTGGCTCCACAGTGTCGGGCCGTCTGGTGTGAGGAGCATCACGTATGCTTCGCGAGGATCTCGTAGTGGAAGTTGTCGATAAGCTCCATCGTGGTCATGTCCCCAGACTGAGAGGGGTTTAAGTCGATCCTGTCGGATTGTCGCGAGTCCCAGGGATATGAAGTGATCGGGTGTGTGATGGTATGGTTGGTCGTGCATCGTGCACGTCGCGTTGTGTCCGCTCCGTCGCCAATCTTCTCCTCGTCGAACTTTGTTGTTGCCGTCGCTGCCCGTCTGTTCGATGCTGAAAGCCATGGCAATGTACGGGTCGGAGTGAGGCAATGGTAATAATTTTCGGTGTCGTCCCTTGGTCGGGACGATCGCCGTCCGGGGCCACCAATCCGGTGCCTCGAACGGTCCATTCATTCGTCCGAGGTCGACCTCCGCTAAGATTTCGTCGAGCATGAGTTCCCAGTGATCGTCAACGGAGTTTTTGTCGATCTTCTCTTTGATGTACTGTCGATTGTTCTCGCGAAACTCTTCAATGGGAGTGGGCTCGAGGTATTTCTTGTCTTGTCGCACGTGCCAGTTGATGCCTGGAGTCAACTTCCCCATAAGGGGGAAGCCTTCGGAGAGCTCGCGGTAGATCAGCTCGGTCTGTGGGTATTGTATCATTCGAAGAAGGTGGACGAGGACAGGTATTTGTGTTACCGAGTTCTTGTGACGATATGCTCGTTGTACATGTTCTGGAAGAGTGTTGAACGAGGCCATCGTGTGTTCTTCCATGTCTTCGACGAGTTCACGAATGTCGGCGATGACGGCCTTCTGGAAATCCAGGAGTGGGTGGAAAATATGTCGGTGTTGTAGACACCACTCAAGTGTGGGATCGAGTCTCTTGGGTGATAAGTGTGTGTCTCTGTGTAGTGCCCATTCGAGGTGATCCGTCCAGGAGAACTGTGGCATGTAGTCGTGATTCGGTGTTCGGGGTGGTGGACCAAAGGGTACCTTAGACTGCAACCAAAAGGAGGTGATCTGTTGTAATGGGGACACTCGAGGTGTCTCCGGGATGGATGCATCGACAGTCCCTAGTAGAAGCAGGAAGATGATCCAAATCGCCGTAGGCAGGTGCCACGCGTTGCCCAGAGCAGTGCAACGTTTTGTCTCATCGCCATTTCCGAGTGTCGCCGTATAGTCCAGTGGTAAGCCTTGTAGTTGTTCGCGCAAGGATGAAGGAGCCGTCGTCCATGATCCGTCCTGCAAAGTGACGATGAATTGTTCTTCATACTGCCAAACCGGGTAACGTCGCTGATCTTGTTCCCATCGATTCCATGCGTCTTGTGAAGTAGTGCGGTCTCGGAGTTGTCTCGGAGGTTCTCGTCCGGACGTCGACGTGGATGGGGTGGTCAGGCAGTGAAACAGTTTCTTGTCGTTGTGTAGACACGGTGGTAAGGAAAAACCTTTTGCGGAAATCTGGGGTTGTAAGTCGATGCCAATCGGGTTGTGTAGTCGATGCCATTCTCCATCTATTTGCCATTCGAGGGACCAGGGTGTGAGCCGAGGTAGTCTCTCTTGGACGGTGTCCCATGGGATCGATGTCCACCACAGTCTCTTGCGGTGCATAACTCCGGAGTCTGCGGCGTCGATGATGATCGGGTCCATGCTCATCGGAGATGTGAGTTCCACGACGTTGTCTCGTACATCGGGGTGGGGTACCACGTTCTCGAAGATCGTCTCGATCGGGACGCCCGTGAATCGTTGTCGAATTTGATGTTCGACGCTGGCCATGTGTTTGAACAGCCATCCTGAGGCGCCGTCGGATCCTTTGGGTTGGCTTCGTAGGCCGGAGAAATCCGGGCACGGGGGACCTGCCGTGATCACCATGATGTACTTTCGGTTGTTCGTTGCATTCTCGATGTGTCTTGCGACAATCTCGATGTCGAACTGTCCGACGTCTCCCAGGTGTACGGATTGGAATACTTTCGATGTGAAACTAGCACAATCGGCGTCGATCTCCCACGCCAGGGTGAGGATGACGTTCTCGTTGATGCGTCGGAGTGCTTCGGAGGCGATCCCGATACCATCGAAGAAGGACAGGTGAACTACCGGCAAGGCGCCCACCAGCTCATGGCAAAGTGTGCAAATCCTGTCGTGTGGGTCTGTCATTCGATGGTCGGCTCCAGAGCCCATTGACTCTGGGCCGTGCTGTCCCTATTTCTTCCCAGACTTGCCGGCTTTGCCTTTCTTGCCGGCGCATTTCGTGCCTTTCTCTCCCTTCGTGTTCCAGGGGGGTCGTTGTGATACTTGTGGAGCAGGGTTGAAGGGAATGGTCGGGGCGGGTGTCGGTGTATTAAAGGTGGATGGTGTTGATGGGGTCCAGGAAGGCATCGATGTGGTCGGCCAGGTCGGAAGAGAAGGGGGGCTCCATGGTTGTGTCGTCGGTTGCCAAGATCGCCACTGGGTCGTCGTAGTGTTCCAGGATTGTCGGTATCGACGTCCTTGTCCAGGCGGGGACCATTTCTGTTGGTATCCTTTGCCCTTGCCTTTGTAGGGTTGTTCGGAGCCTTTGCCGACTCGTGGTCGCTTGGATAATGGTTGTTGCATCACATCGTTCACTCGTGTCAAATCGTTCATGAGTTCTTCGGTGATCATCTGGAAGGTATCGTTGGATCGCATCCGCATGGCGATATCCCAGGAGAACTCTTCCCAAAGGCTCTTGAC